AAAAAAGCCTTCATTTCAAGTACAGAGTTGCAGATGTTTACAGTACTTGTAGGTATTTGCCTTTGTCATGTAGAAGTGAGTGCTGAGGGGTATGAGCAGAACACCAGCAGGACTTGTGAGATAGGTTTTCATTCATGTATGCATGCATTCATTAATTTGTTCATTTTAAATTCAACAAATATTTACTGAGGATGCATAATACAAAAGGCTATGGGGCTTTGACCAATAGGAACCTTGAGCAATACACGTCTTTATTTTCATTCCTGACATAATATAAGGATCCTATAAGCCCATTTATAGAATATTCTTAGTCTGGAGGATAAGTCACATGCATGCAAATGTGTACCTATGATAATTTAGAAATATTCAACTCTCAGAGATTATTTAACTCTAAAAAAATTTACAAAAACTTCTTTTCTCCAAGTGCTTGGCGCTCTCACATCCCCATATTTTTGCTCTCACGTGAACAATGTTTCTTCTGTCTGGAATGTCAATGGAGTAGCCATTGGAACATAAGCTTTGAGTGTAGGTGGGAGCCACACTGTGGGAAATTTGGCTGCCACCATAAGTTGTGTGGACTTTATTCAAAGGACAATGGGAACTCACTCACTGGGAGTTTTACAGAAAGAATCAAAGTAATGCTTTCAAATGATTGAAACAGTGGTAGTGTGCAGCCTTCATTGAAGGAGTACGGAGAAGCAGGAAGTGTGATTTGGAATTTATTTCAGTATTCAGATAAAGGGCAATCAAGACCTCATTTAAAAAGGGATAGACAGAGGACCAGAGAATTCACAAAGATTAGTGATTAAACATGGCTTCATGTCTGACTGACTGAGATAATTGGAAGAATTTAAGAATAAATTAATGAAGGAGAAAAATAGGAAGTTGAAGAGGAGGAGGTGCTTTTGGAGAGGGACATTTTTATTTTGGAGAAAACATCCAACGTATAACTGGAAATGTAAATCTCTTCAGGAAGACATCTTGGAAAGGGATAAAGGTAGAGCCACAGGTATGAGGAGACAGAACTGAGGTCATGGGACTGATCACAGTGAAGTATAAAAACCACAAGAAGCGCCCCTATTCAGGGAGCAGGAAGAAGGAGAAAAGCCAAAAAGCCAAAAACGAGAGCGAGAGAGAGTGAGAGAGAGAGAGAGAGAATGACAGAGAGAGAGAGATTACAGAAGGAGAAGGAAAATAAAAGCAATGCAGTATCGAGCCAATTCAGGAGAATTTCAAGGAGAGCTCGGTCAACAATGACAAGTACTATAAGTCAAAGAAGGAATACTGTCGGACAACCATACCACCTGGCAATTAAAACATTGTGAATAAACTAAGGGCAATGTTTCTCAACATATTTTCTACCCTGGTGCTGCAAGACACTTCAAAATAATAAATTTTGTGGTTAAATAAATGGAAGGAGTTGTATATATTAAAGAGCAGAGCTTCTCAGCCAATGAATTACTGACCTTTTGAACTTGATCATTCTTTGTTGGTAGGGGCGGGAGGTGGGGGGAGCTGTCCTCTGTATTGGAGGACATTCTGCAGCGCCCCTGTTCTCTACCCACTAAACGATAGTAACATCTTCCCAAGTTATGACCATCAAAAATGTGTCCAGACATTGCCAAATGTCCCCTGGGGTCAAAATCACACGCACACACACACACACACCCCTCCTTTGAGAAGCACTGGTATAATGTCTACCCCTAGCAAATGCTCAACCTTAGATTCACAAAGCATAGTGCACAGTGCATTGTAAATGAAATATTCTGAAAGTTCTAGCCCAAATAAAACTTTTTAAAAACTTTTTTCAAACCAGAGTTTCCCAAATTCATGTTTAGAGGTTGTATTTCTAACATCTCCTAAAACTGGTATATGTGACATGTTTGGCAATTGGTGTCTGAACCAATCACTGAATCGGTAGAGGGGGAAAGCAGATTTCCTGAGGAAGGGTCTACAAGAGTCCAGCCCTCTCCTCATCTCCTGCTGGGACACACTCCCTTCTCCCCATTAGTCCTCACTTCCCTTGGTAGCCTCTCAAAAACTGTTAACATCCCCAGACCCTAATAAAACTATTCAGCAGTCGAGGATATCAAGAAGCCATCCTGGTCCACCTAGGGAGATATTTGAAAACATTTTAACAATTAAATATTTACTAGCCATTTGGTTTTGTTCTGAACTGTTCCAACAGATTATACTGACCCGGGAGGCGTAGGAGGAATGAACTCACTAGGGAAGGATAAAGCCTCTTTTTGTCTCTTCTATTGAGACTGATAAGGTCAGAATTGAAACTGCCAGGGGCTTGGAGCAAAAAGCAACAGCACCCCCTAGTGGCAGGCATGCTCCAGTCCCTCGAGTAAAAGAACATTAGGCTCTGGAGTTAAACCACTCAGAAGTCAGAAACTTTGAATCTTCTTAGGCTCCCAAGTCAAGTGCTTGTTAAGCTAATACTCCAGGTAGTATCTCTTTTTCCATTAAAGTGTCACTGTGTGAATAGTTTGAGACTGAAAAATGACTGTGAGACAGTGCTTTATCCAAAGGAAGTTTTCAACAAAATAATGATTGTTAAATGTTTCATCACTACACCTAATAAGATTCTGGCCATCACTGCCGGTAGCACTGCATTAAATACTGTAATTTGTGCATTAGTTTAAAACGAGGTCACTAGATTAGGAGTCCCTGTTGGCACCCAGTTCTTCATAAAAATGTTGTTTAAGGTTTAAACAGATTAGGAAATATTTACAGGGTTTCACGCTTCCCTTTGAGACAGGTGTCACTGCCCTTTACAATGCTGGACAAGCCTTTGCTCCAGTAGTTCTGACGGCTGCAAAGGCAAGGATCAAATTACAATCAGGAGACAATAAGACGTTTTGTCCTTAAGGTTTTCAATAGCGGCAGGCATTTGCTAAATTTAGGAGGCGCTGAGATTTGTTCGGGTTTCTTGTCATTTGGGTTTTTCAGTTTTCTCAATGCACGTAGTAGCAGTAGCCTGCAAGTCTAAGATACATTTCATTTGGCTTAAATTTGAATGAAGTCAAACAGCTCTGCAAAAGAAGATACAAAATTCAAAGATTTCCATAGTTCCCTAACTGCATTATGTAAAGTCCTACCAAGGAAGGGCTTTACATCAAAGTCTTTCAAAAGACAAGGTCGTTTAGAAAGATAGGTATTTGCTTGTTTGTTTGTTTGTTTGTTTTTCAGATCAAGAGTTCATCATAATATAGCCCTAAAATAAAAATTGCTCTTAGAAAATGTCAATCTGTTCCATAATTTTAAGCTTTTCCTCCGTAAACTCTAACAGATATAGT